ATATCTTCTTAGAGAGCAGTCTGTGTGCTCACATTTGCCACTGACACAGTGAGATTCTTTACCTACGGTTTAATTGCCATGCCTGAAGGTACATAGATTGAGGGTATTGTCTGTCCTGATCAACTTTAAGGAGGTCAGCTAACAAAATGGATTAGCTAGTTTTAACTTACTAGCCAATCAATAATGCAATAGCAATATAACTGATATTTTGAGTCTATTTAATTTTTAGTTTGTGGGAATTCTGCTAGCATCTTTAAGATGGAAAGTTAAGATTATCAAGTAGCTGTGAAAATGGGATCATGTGTCTGTTACCTAAAGTTTACACCAGCATTCCACAATTGCCAGATTCACTGGACCTCTGTGTGTGTGTGTGTGTGTGTGTGCGCGCATATAGCCATAGAATGTTGATATTTATAGAAAGCTCCTACCCTTATTTGTATATGAAATAAATGTCACATGTCGAGTTACGTAATGAACTACAGTGTTGTACAAAGTCTCCTAGTACAAAATCCATCCATTCAAGGCCATTGAAAGTTGGGCAGACAAAATATAAACCACTTTAATGGTACACAGACATTCCTGTTCTTGTAAGAGATCAACCACTATCAACACAGTCTATGAGAAAACTAATTGTATTAATCTCCAGAGGTACAACTATATTGCAAGGTCTCTGGACATTTGTGTTTTGCTTTTGGGGTCTCTGCTTATGGTCATAGTTAAAGAACTTTTTCAGCAAGATGTATGGCAACTGTAGTTGGCTATGATGTCACTCTTTTTCTTAATCTAAATTTTGTTTTTTCTATGTACATATTTTCAGGCTTGGCTTGAAAAAGTGACAGCCTACCAATAGCTTGTGGCACATTACAAACTAACTTATTTGTGTTGCATTAGCTAGCTAGGATGCTAGAGCAGTTTTTCATGCTGCTACAAGACTCCTTTCTTGTTCTAGTTCGACTGAAGTTGGCTTCTAAAGAGATGTCTGCTCAAGTGAAGTGATGGAATGAGGTGCACTGGAAAACTAGGGTGAACTGTTCTAAAAGTGAATGGGTCATTCTGAGAATAACAAGCATTAGGGACTGAACAGCAAAGGGATGCAACTTGATTTGAAGCATGCTAGCTGCTTTCCCAGTTCATGTAGAGGTAAGACTTCTTGGAGATGAAAACAGCTATGAGATCCTTTTTGGTTCCTTTTTTAATTTTCTTAGCTAAACCCAGATACACTGTAGTTTGTTCACTCCACCTTCCCCCAATGTTGACGACAGTTTGGAAGAGGAATTCCACTTTCACTTCTGGTTAATAGCTGTGGTATTACTTTCAAAAACTGCAAAATCTTTTTGACCAGAGATGGCAGTGGGACAAAAATGTGTGTGTGTACACATGGGAACTGAAGCCGTTCTCAAACCACTTTTCATCTCTCAAACGTACCTGTCTCCCTCTTAAATTGCCTTCTGATACCCTATCTGGTCCCCATTGTTTGAGCATTTTTTTCTCTTCATGATGTGGTCAGCCAAGGAGGCCACATCTGGTGATGAGCAAAGTCTTGCTCAGGAGGGTAGCACTTAGTTACCGTAGCAGTGATCCCCAGCGTTCTGAAGCTAACAGGGTGCAGAAGTTGTAGGCCAGTGAGCCTGCCTACAGTTCTTGCAGCTTCTCGCAGCTGTCTGACACCATGTGGCCTCTCAATAGGTCCACATACAACTCATGGCTGCTATGCAAGAAAGCTGGTACAAAAGACACTATAACACTAAAGAATGTTGACAACCCAGAAGCACAAAGTTAAATCTCTCAAACACAGGCTTGTTAACGCAACTTGCCCCTTTTCCTGTCACGTAAGACAGGCTCCGTTGCCCTACGTAAGGAATCATACCCAATTTCAATGTATCAGCTGTTTAGGTATCTTCAAGTTGGATTAATCTGTATGTGTGTGTGTTTGTAGTCTTCAGGCCATTTGACTTGCATAATATCCTTTTTACATAAGATTTAGATAACTGATGTGTATATATGTTAAAGTTGTATACTCAAGAGGAATGCTACATTTGGCATACTCTTGTCTCTGTTCAAGATGCCTGGAAACCTTGCATTTGCTTGCCAGCAAATACTGGAATTCTTGAACCTTGGTGTTTTAAGGAAAACCACAAATGAGAGATGTTAAGAGTAACAAAAATGCTACTGCAATTTTTCAAGGCGGTTGCTCTTGAAATCTCTCTGGAGGGCACAAATGCTTCGGTTTGGAAAAGATCATTCATTTGACACACTGGGAGTTTTAAAGTAAAACAAGTGGACTGGTAGTTTCAAAACATACTGAAAGCTACAGTGCTTTATTCCCACCTCTGGAAGGGAGGGGAGGGCTTGAAAAAGAGATGGCATGAAGGCAGTTCATTCCTGACCACTTCCTCTCACTGACTCAGCTTGTGAACATGGGCATATTGGCTTCCCTTTCCAGTGCCTCTTTCCCATCAGTAATGGGGGTGGATCAAAGCCACTGCTTCCCACAGTCCACATCACTGCTAAATCATGTTACCTGTGCCATAACTGGAAAAACTATGATTTGAGGTGGATTGGAAATTCTCACAGGATTAGCATTGGGGAAAGTATTGAGTTAAACAGGTGCAGCCTAAGAAGACACAAAACCCTGTTATTCTGCCCTAATTGCAATTTGTGGAAACTGGGAATATTACTCATGAAAGCTACCCACTTGATCTTAACATATCCTTATCGGCTGTCCTCAACTTATAGAAGTAGTCTATAGCGCAATGTTAGAACTCATGGTAACTTAGCATGGCTGTTCAATTTATACTATCCATTTTGCTTTTGGGGCCATAGAAAGCTACCTGATTCTTGAGTCAGATCATTGGTCTATCCAGCTTAGTACTGTCTGCACTGGCTGGCAGTGGCTCTCTAGGGTTTTTGATGCAAGGTTTCCCCCCAGTCCTACCTTGAGCCACCAAGGATTGCATCTGGGACCTACATACAAAGCAGATGCTTTTGTTTTCCCCCAGAATCATCAAGGAAAGGATTCTGTTCTATAGGATCCCTTATTCACTTTTTCCCTCTTCTTGCTCCTGCCCCAGGCATAAAGCAGATCACTACTGTATTTCTCTTATGATGGGCAGTGTACAGCAGGAACTCATCTACTATATAGTTCAGTAGGTTGCTTCACTCGGCATAGACATTCAACGCATCTCTCACCGAGAACCGAGCCTGCTCCTATTTACGTAGCCTCTGTAGTCTAATTCTTGGCCATGCTATTGTGATGTGTTGTTGGAAATATATATAGAAGTTGGAGCTGCAACAATATGATGCACTGCTGAGTGCTGCTATTAAATATTCCAACCACTCCCTCCCTCAAACCAGTTAGTCAGTCTCTGGCTCCTGAGCATGCTGTTCTCATTGGTCTGCTTTGAGATTTCCTTCCATTGGGTTTTTTCCACAATTTTTTTTTTTTTGGTATTGCTACAAATCTTGGGGTTCCCCTATGCCTGGTAGTAGCTCCCCTTTTGTGCAAGGGCCTACAGCTTGAAAAGTGGAGCGTACACAACATTTTGCAGCACTGCCCTTCCTCTGCAAGCTAGCACTACCCAAGGGGTGGTAGTAGCTTAGCCGCAGAGTGACTGTGATGAAGATTGGTCCAGCTTGGTCAGGACTTGAGTAATTAGCAGGTAGAGAAGATGGACAATAGCACTGACTTCAACCAGACATAGCTTAAGTTGGTGGTGCTGATGTGCACTGCTGACTTTTACGTGAACAATAACTACCACACTATTTACTATGGATATGCTTTAGTGCAACTCGTGTTCACAAATAAATGAACAGTGTGGTGTGCTAGCCTTTGGCATCTTGTGAAAATTTCACAGCCCTACCGTACATCAGTACAGAGAAAATATACTCAAGGCCTCAGTCACTCTACTGCAGATTTCCTGTATCATCTCTTTGAAATTCAATAGTCAATATTCCTAGCATTGCTTAGATTCTGACTTCTGGGGCTGTGGGGAGGGGGGAATCCAACTGTTACAATTAATTGCTTAACCATAATAGAAACAGGTACAAGCTTCCCCTTTCTGATCCTACTTATCCTCTTAAACTGGTATGTTTTAGCAGCTTATGTTTTGTTATGTCATCGCATCATAAACTCTGGGGTCCTGGCCAAAAAGAAGAGTACAGTAATCAAAATGCAACATATTGTGAAATCTAAGGGCCTCCTTTCTAACATTTCTAGTGTATGAGAACAAGAGTCGGAGGAGGGTACCCAAGACTGTGAGAGTTTACAGCAGGACATCCTAGTGTGACCAGAGGACAACTGGTTGTGACAACCGCAAGAGTTCAGTCCAGTCTGACCTCTGTGTATTTACTTGGATGCAAGTCTCACTATGCTCAGTGGAGCTTGCTTCTCTGTGCACAGAACTGAAACCTTAATGGTGTAGCCTAGGGCTGCAAAAGCAAATGTCATAGGAAGTGAAGGAGTGGTGGCTGGGAGGGACATTTTTCCTCTCTTTACAGCCGCCTTTTAAAAAAAACACAAAGCAAAACATAGAGGTTCTGATCTCCTTCCATATTTGAGCGCTCGCATTTATCTGCTGTAGTCAGGAAATACAAGTGTACAGGGGCAGGCAGAACAAACCTTCAGCGATCGGGATTAAGCAAGGGCGTGGACGCTGACCGCCGTAGTTTTGAGTGAATAAATGTGGACTAGGAGGAGGTCAGGTTCGTAAATTGGGCAAATGAAGACGGGCGTTTGAGAGGAAAGCTAAGCGTTGCAGGCTGAGGGGAAAACTTCTATTCCACTTTCCGCTGAAATCCGCCGCTGAAACTCCTGCTGCTATAAATGGAACAGCCAGCGAGTTTTTGTTTTTTTTTTTTAAAAAAGAATTATGTACTCGCCGGATTCCTGCTGTTGACTTCTGCCTGAGGCGGCCAGAGAGCGCCCTTTCCAGCCGGCGCGGCCGCTAAGGGGACGCTGCGAATTCTCCTGCTCCACCTTAAGCCGCCAAGTGTAGGGAGGCTACGGGAGGCAACAGCGCCTCCTTAAGCGGCTGCGGGTCCCGCTCGGGCGGTGGTGGAGGCGGCGGCGCGTGCGGCTGGGGGAAGGGGAGGGAGGAGCTCGCGCTGCCCGGACCAGCCCGCGCGCCGCCGCTTCCAGCAGCAGCAGCGCCTGCCGGGCGGAGGGTCTAGTTGGCGCCGCGCGGGCAAGAGCTGAGGCCAAGGCGGAGCGGCGCACGGGGGCAGCGAAGCCCCGGGGGAGGCGGCAACACCATGGCCGGGCCCCCGCCGCCGCCCCCGGGCCAGGAGGCGCCGCGCTACCAGGAGTGGATCTTGGACACCATCGACTCGCTGCGCTCGCGCAAGGCGCGCCCGGACCTGGAGCGCATCTGCCGCATGGTGCGCCGGCGGCACGGCCCGGAGCCGGAGCGCACCCGCGCCGAGCTGGAGAAGCTCATCCAGCAGCGCGCCGTGCTCCGCGTCAGCTACAAGGGAAGCATCTCGTACCGCAACGCTGCGCGGGTCCAGCCGCCTCGGCGAGGCGGAACGCCCGCCGCCAGCCCCGCGGCCCCGCAGCGGCCGGCCCGCACTTCCCCGCCCAGCGCTCCCGCCGCCGCCGCCACCGCGACGCCCCGGTCCTCCCAGCGTGCAGCGCCCCGCGCGGAGCCAGCCGCGCCGCCGCCGCCACCTCCGCCGCCGCCGCCACCGCCGCAGCCGCCGCCTCCTCGTCGGACCGGCCGGGAGCGACCGCCGCCGCCTGCCCCCGCCCCGGAGGAGCCCTCCCCCGTCAGCCTGCGAGAGATTGTGCGCTACTTGGGCGGCGACGGCGCCGCGCCGGGGGGCGGCCGAGTGACTCGAGGCCGAGCGCAGGGGCTGCTCCAAGAGGAGCGGCTGGAGAGGACCCGCTTGGGTGGCGGCGGGGGCGGGGGCGGCAGCGGCAACAGCGTCGCCTTGCCCAGGGCGGAGAGAGGCGCGCAGGCCCGGGCGCCCAGCGCCAGGGCTTACAGGAACAAGGTGAGGGGCTGCCGCGGCGCGCGCGGGGGGGAGAGGGGTGGGGGCGGGGCGGCGGGGGCGCACGGGCTGAGGGGAACAGGTGAGCTTCCCCAGGACGGAAACGGACCTAGCGGAGGAGTGCGCGCGCAGGGGGTGCCCGAACACTGGGCGCGCGGGGGGGGGGAGCGGAGGGGCGGGCGCCGGAGAGGAGCCGCTTTCGGGGAGGGCAGACGGCGCCCAGCCCCCCGAATGTTGTCAGCGGGCGCTCGCGCAGGTGTGCGTGTGTCTGGGAGGAAGAGTTATGGGCAGCGCCCAATCAAATCGCTTTGGCACGGGAGGGGGCGCCACGATTGGTGCCTGGGCTTCGACGGGGCGACATTCTCCCGTGCAGTTCCGAAGTATTGTGGGAAGGTGAGCGGAAAGGCCGCCGCTGGATGGCACAACTCCGCCTGGTCCGCGGGGAACTTGCGGGGCCGAGTTGGGGAGCGGGTAAGAACCAACCCCGGGCGTGTGGAGAGGCTCCGCTCACCTGCGTGCGTGGCCCTCCGGTGACATTTGTGCGGCGTTGAGGATGCACGTCGGGCCCTGGACAGTGGCCCCTTCTCCGACCTCGCCACCCCCCCCCCCGCCAAACTCAGGCCGTGCCAGGCTCCGTATAAACACAGAACAAAGAGTCAGTTTGTGCTTGACCTAAAGGGTTCTGTAACCTCCAATAAGGTCGGGAGGTGGTGGGAGTAGTAAGGCAGCGAATGCAAACGGGGAGCGGAGGGGGGAGCAGAAAAGGAGAAATCATGTGGTGTTGGTCAGGAGGGTGACCAGCTCTGGAATGTAACCCAATCCAGTAAGGATCAGAGCAATTATCAAGGGTAGAATACAATTACAGTCCAGTAAAAAGAAGCCCCTTTCGGTTCTCTCTTATTTTTGGCAAGTTTTCTGTTACAAGGATGGCAATAGATTTCCATAAATCTAGGCGGATCTGCCCAACAAAGCCAAGTGGAGGGATGGTGTGGCTGAAGTTTGATTCCATCTCTTCTTGGATTAGAAGGCTCCTGCTGTGTTTCAAAGAGCCTCTGAGCATTTTGCGGTAGTATTTTGGAGGCCTTTACCCAGACTAGCAACACCACTGGTTCCAAGTACAGTGGTACCTTGGGTTACATATGCTTCAGGTTACAGACTCTGCTAACCCAGAAATAATACCTCGGGTTAAGAACTTTGCTTCAGGATGAGATCAAAAATCGTGCTCTGGCGGCGCGGCAGCAGCGGGAATCCCATTAGCTAAAGTGGTGCTTCAGGTTAAGAACAGTTTCAGGTTAAGAACGGACCTCCGGAACAAATTAAGTGTGTAACCAGAGGTACCACTGTACAGTAACTCATTTTGAACAAATAGGGGAAACTGAAGCAGGATTACAAGAAATGGCTCTGAGTAAAATTACATTGTAACCTGGAAGTAGATTGGCTTAGTTGTCAAAGTGTGCAATCCTGTTTATATGTCTAGACAGAAGTAACAGCCACAGAGGTCAGTGGTACTTAAGTCCCAGGAAAGTTGGCATAGGATTTAGCAAAAGGCCACAATCCCATACACCCTTAGCCTGGCAGTAAGCACCATTAACAACAATTATGTGTAGGACAGTACTGTAAAGTCAATAAAAGTGAAACAAGGAACTTGAGGCACCAACATTGAGTAAGCCTGGAGAGTTAGACACAGGGGTGATTAGTCTGGGGTGCTGTGGAAGCAGGGCCTGGATTTGTAAATATATATATGTATTCTTTTTATGTTTGCAGAAGGCAGGCGAGGAGGTCAAAGGTGAAGAAGAAGAAGAGGAGGAAGAAGAAGAGGATGAAGCCTCCACCATGTCTGAAGGTTCAGAGGTGGCACAAGATTATGAGGCCAGCAACTACAGCAGACCTGGGATGGGCCAGGTGAACGGGGACTGTAAGGACAGCAAGCATGGTGGGAAAGAGATCCCACCCAGCAGTGCCCTCACCAGAGACCTGCGCTCCCTCGAGGAGCAGCCCTTGAACAAAGGATCAGAGCGTCCCCACCATGAAGGAAATGAGCAATGTCATACAAAGGCCTCTTGGCCTGGAGAAAGTGCCTGTCACCATCTGGGGGGCAGCAAGAAAGATGGCAGCGCCTATCAGCAGCCAGACAGAGCAGGTATAGGGTATAGGGTGGGTGAGAGGGAGTGGCAGAGGGCGGGGGGAATAGTTGGCTAAGCTTGACTTTTCTTGGGAGACCCAGGCCCTAGAGGGATATGGTAAAAGATCCTAATGAAGGAACCATTGGAGATGGTGATAAGATTATTGCACAGGTTTTTCAAGTGTAAATAGACCCCTGGCGTCATTGTGCAACTCACTATTGAGAATTATGCCTAGGAGCCCTAGGCCAGGTCAGTGGTATTATGGGTGGATGAGGAGCGGGGGGTGGGTCGGATTGTGGGAAGATGGCTTTGGCTCTCAGGTGTTTGTGCCATGGGAATTAAAACTGGCTTCTTGTTCTCTGCCTCAAAAGGGCTCCAGGCACATACACATGCACAAATTCATTCACCAGCTAGTTAAAGCCTCATTGCTATGTAAGAGAACCAGGCCCATTCCCATTTGTGTGTGTTTTTTTCTCCCTCTCTCTTACTTTCTCCCAGTGTCACCAGCTGTTGCAGGTACTGAGCCCTCTGTGCCCTCATCCCCTGGGAGACCTGGCATCCAGGCAGATGGGAGACCCTTCAGCTGCACGTAAGTTTTGAGTGGGCACCGAAAACCCATTTGTTTAATGACAGCTAGTTCACCTATGACCCTCTGTAAGGAGAGAACACTTGAGTCCCCTGCCATCAGTGCCACCACCTATTTAGAAAAGGACCAGACAAGACGTCTTCAGCAGTGAGTAAAGGCTGACTGCATCTAGAAGGGCTTTCATCTGGGTAAGCTTGCCCCTCCTTCTACCCTGGTGCTTATGGAAATGAGGGAGGAGCTGTAGCTGCTGCCTCACCCCAGCTGGTTCTTAAGAGAAGGAGCAGCAGCAGCAGCACTTAGCTTTTGCACACTCTGGGAAATGAAGCTGCTGTCAGAGTGAATGAGGGGCTGCTGAGGTGGTGGCAGTAGAGGAGGAAGCAGTAAGTTAGTCCTGCAAGTTTCTTCAGCTGCCTCCCTCCTTCATTGGAGGAAATGAGTTGCTGCTGCCCTTCAGATTCCGAAGCAGGCACAGTGGGGTTGAAATACTTAGACGTCCTCATTAGGCTGCTTTGCACATTGCCATATTCGTGTGACTGTGATGCCATATTGGTGCCTCTCAATGGGGGCCTTCCCTTCCTGTTTGCTGGGATAGGCTTCCTGTTAGCCTGGCCTCTGTCGCCCATGTTCTGGGAACCTCCAAGATAGACTGCTGGAATGCACTGTCTATAGAGCTGCCTTGGGAAACTGTTCAGAAGCTGCAGCTCGTATAGAATGCAGCTACTTGATTGCTGCCTGGGACTGGGTGTTAGGATCATGTTTTGCCTGTGCTATGCGGCTGCACTAGCTTCCATTCCATTAGTGGGTCCTGTTCAAAGGGAACTTGAAGGGCCATCTGTCTCCAGATATGCTTCACTGACTGAGGTGAGCTGGGTGGCAACCAGAGAAAGTTTCTTTTTGCTGGTGGATCCCCAGCAAGTGATGAAACATCTTCTGCCCAAAGATGTTTCCCTGACAAGATGCTATTTTTCCTTTCAGCTGCAAGCAGGTGTTTTTTTTATTTACCCAAGCTTTTGAGATGAAGTTCTTGCTCTCTGTCATTTTGCGGCATTTGACTTTATTATTCACATTTTGTTTTACTCTTGTAACCCCTCCCCTTCCCGCAGTATATTTGAAGGGTGGTTTAAAAATACACATAATAAATTACTGGGGTGGGGTTTGGGTGGCCCCGTACAGAAAAACTTGTCTCTTGCTCAAGTTGGGTTCTTTTTATGATCTGCCACCCTCTGCCCATTCTGGATCCATGCATGCACTCGCTTCTTTTTAACTCCTGGTGAGAAGTCCCCTTCACATTGTGGAGCAGGAGGCCATTGGATGCCTGGGGTATGAATTCTCTTTTCTCTCTCTCTCCTCCTTGTAGCTCAGTGAAGGAGAAGCCTTCTGACCCAGTGGAATGGACTGTGAGTGATGTTGTGGATTATTTCACAGAAGCTGGTTTTGCTGAGCAAGCATCTGCCTTTCAAGAACAGGTGAGAACCTTGGGATACCAAGTGAAAGATTTGGGGATTAATGCTCAAGTTGAACTCTTAATGAAATAGAAGGCCCTGAATGGCATGGGCACTGAATGTTTAACAGGGTAGGGACTTGCATGTGTGCACGCTCAGTTCCTAGTTGCTTAGGGGCTCTTTGTCAAATGTAAAACACGAGCCAGGGTGCATATGATTGTACATCAAAGCAGCAGTCGCCGTGGGGTTTTCTTGCGTGCTAAAAAACCTGCCTTGCAAATAACAGAGGTGCTTGCCAATGATTAGAGATCTGTTTCAGTTATCCATATTGCCACTCCCCACCATTGCTTCCGACTGGTTATTTGCGTCAGGAAAAATAGTTACTAGAGCTCAGCAATCCTATTTGAATGTGTGTTTATGTTCATAGGAAGCATCCAGAGTGTTCTCCCACACATGTCTTCCCCATCCCCCCTCTGCATGTTGCATCATGGGCCTCTTTCCCTTAGCATGGGATTTGGCTCCTTCAGCCCTCTCTCCTCTTGTAATCAAGGCTCTCTGCCTGGTCCAACTACAGCTGTCAATGGCACCAACCAAGGCCAAAGTCAGGCTTCCCTCTTCAGGGATCTGCACTTAGAAGCATCCCACCTTGTGAGCTGGATGCTGTCTATGGACATCTGCGCCTTCAAGCCACCTTTCCATAGGCCCTGTTGCGACCTAAGCTCAACAGAGAGTGGTGTTGTTGTGCTTCCTATGCGCTGTGTTCAGATAGAAAAGACTGAAAAATACTCTTGTGACTATTTCAAAATATGAAATTCTGCTTAGGATGGGCATTTCCTGGTGTCTTGTGTTCATAGCTGTCAACGTTTCCCTTTTTTAAAGGAAAATTCCCTTATTCCGAATAGGATTCCTCGCAAGAAAAGGGAAAAATTGACAGCTATGCTTGTGTTGGAGGCCTAATGGGTTGATGGCCGGGTGTTAAACCAGTGGCATGAATCGTAATTGATAATGCTTAAATATGTGTTAAAAGGATGGGGAAGGACTAAGCATTCAAGATAGGCAAAAAAATGTGCATAAATTCAATCATATCCATTCCTCAACCTGGAAGCTTGTCTAGATTTAAAGAACACTTTCCTTCTTCCCTCCAGTTCACTGAGGAGGGGGATTCCTTCTTAATACAGATCTCTACTATTGCTTTCTTAAAAGTAGTGTGTGTGTGTGTGTGTGTGTGTGTGTGTGTGTGTGTGTGTAATCTATATTCTGTCTCTTAATGGGGGGAGTCCCTGTGCCCTAAACGCCCTGTTGTTTTGTCCCTCTGTTGCTCCCGCTGCAGGAGATCGATGGGAAGTCTCTTCTGCTGATGCAGCGCACCGATGTCCTGACCGGCCTCTCCATCCGCCTGGGGCCTGCTCTCAAGATCTACGAGTACCACATCAAGGTGCTGCAGCAGTGCCACTTTGAGGAGGACGAGGGCGACTCCTTCATGGGCTGAGGAGGACGGGCGCAGCTCGCGAAGGGTGTGGAGAGCTTGGGTGGGGAGAAGTGAACGGGGACTCTGCCAACCGCTACTGTCTCAAGTCATTTCAGCCTTTCTCTGCCTCCATGAAAACAAAGAGAAGCAGCTGTGTGGGAAGGGGAAGAAGGACTTTGGCCAGATTTTTGTGAAAATGGTGGGGAGGACAGAAATGATGATCCAGGCTTTGCGGCTTCTCTACCCTGATTGTCCAGAGATAGGAAAGACAGGGAGGGAGGGCTGCAAAAAAAAAAATCCCACCCTTCTCCCAACCTGTCTGTGTTACTTACCCCAGCATTTTACTTACCATAGTGCATTGTCTGTTCTTGGGAAAGGGTGGAAAGATGTGGTTTTTGTCCCTCTTTCCAGCCGCAGTTTAACTGAGATAATTTGTGCTTCAGCATCCCTTTCCCCTTCCCCTTCCCCTTTACCACCACAACAACAGCAACCACAGTAGCACTTGATGGTCCTACCTGCTCCCCCTCCCTTTGTTGCTGTTCTCAAGAAGACAAAGATAGAGCCTGCTGAAGGTGTCAGGAGGTTTTAATCAAATATCTTATTATTCTCTTTTCTGTTTGGGTAGGCTTTTCTTCCAGTTTTCATGGTCGTTGCCCAGAGTCAACTGCTTTTTATTATTTCTTTCTTCCCATTTTTTTAAAAAAATATAAATATTTAAACTGGAAAAAAACCCAATTGGTTTAGTATTCCCAGACTTGTTAGCCTTCTGGAAGGGGTATTGGATCACCTAAAATGAACATGTGTCTAAAGGACAAAAGTATGTGTAAAAAGAGGTGGAAGTCCTAAGTTCTGCTCTCTTTTTCTCTCCGTTTTTATTTGAGGGTGGTGATGTCACCTAGTGGTGTTGCTAATCAGTTTATGGGATGTATTCTGACTAGTCCAGGGATGGGAGCAGAACTCTGGAGTTCTGGCTCAATTTTCAATGCTATAATCAACTGGGGTAAAAAGTGTGGTAACATTTGCACCATCACCAGGAGGTCTAAAATGAAACACTTAGGGTTTAGGGAAGGTCTCTTTGCAGTGGCAGAAGCAGATGACTCGTTGTCTGTGTATATTCACAACCAGGTGGCTTAGCTGGTGCTTCTATAGCAGATAATATAAGTGGAGCAAACACTTCGGAGACTGAAAAGGAAAGCAAGGAAAGGAAATGGTCCATAGCCCTGTTCTCAGTTACAAAAAATGGGGTGGTGGTTTTTGTTGCCTTAAGAAAGGATCTCCTCTTGTTAAAGCAGGCCAAGCCCACAAAGGTAGACTGTAACGGCAAGAGGAGGTGGTAAAAAAGACTATAGTGTAATTGGCTCTTTGTGCACATCAAATGGAGAGGATCTAGCTATGGCACACAACACAAAATCTGAGCTTTCTTGGTGATTTTTCAGGGCACACCTCTTGAGTACCCCAGTTGCTTAGCAAGTATCTGTTTCACAAAACAGTTTGAAACTCGTTTCACTGTCACGGCTTTCTGTAAAGAACTGTAGGAATGGAAACCTTTTGGTGAGGCTGCTGAGAACTCTTTTGTAGTACTGTATCTTAGACCCTTTTACAGAACGACACTTCCTAGAATTTGTTGTTTTAGAGCCGTGGCAGATGAGGGTTGAAACTGGTTTAAATTTGGAATGTAGACAGGCCCTTAGTACAGTTTGAGGATCAGTGGATAGACAGTAGCTACCCTGTTTAGTTGTGACTCAGAAACAGAGAAGCGTACGTAGCTCGAGACACAACCCAACATGCATGCCTAGAGGAATGCACAGCTAGACAGGAGCACACTGAATTTATGTTCTCAAAATTTTATTTGGAACCATGAGGGCTAGAAACCTATTGTTTGAACTTTGAAAGCAGAGGTTCTCAATGTTGTAGCACAAAAGTGCCTCAGGGGCTTACATACCGGCTGCATGTTGCCCCCTATTGCACTAGACCCTACTATTTTGTCCAGAGCTGGGAATAAAAAAACAACAAGATTTTTGGGTTCTAATATGTATTCTGTTTATTGGCCACCAGTTGTCAAAAGAGCTGCCATAGGAGGTGAAATGCTTTAGGAACCGATTTAGATGACTCAACAGTGGGAGTGATTTTTCCAACTCTTCATGCTGTCCTTTTGGGAACAGAGTAGGGCGCATAGAATTGGGCTGCCCATTTACTTCATTGTTATTGACACTGGCCAGGGTGGAAAGAAGAGAGGACATTAATAATCCACAGTGGAAAGGTGTAGATTGGAATGGACAAAGCCAAGCAAGGCTGTTCCAGCGCAGTGTTCTGAAAATTCCTCTGTGAGGCTTGGATGGGACAAGGTTGTGTTGCCTGTCAGTGCAGAGGGTAGTTCAAGTAAGAGACAAGACGGAATGGGGCTTCAGGATCCTAACTTCCTAGATATACTGTAGTACAGTTTAAGGGCTGGTATACATGACCTTGTGCTGATGAAAACACAGATAAGGTGTTGGCTGGTTGTGTGGTTTTTTAGAAAACAGATTTGTGCTTTGGGATCTAGGCTTGAGCTGGTTGGCAATGGGCCCAGGTTGTAACATACAGGTTTTGGAAATTTGTGCAGGGGGAATGGCCTTGGCTAAGGCTGTGCTGAGGTGTGAACCGGGCTTGTGTTCCCTAATTCAACATCTACAAAATCCAAAGGCGAAGTTTCCTTAGTAAAGGTGGACACAACATATGGCACAGTCTTTTATGTTGATCTAGGCTAATCTAGCGACCGGAAGTTAAACACTTAAAGGCTAGGAATTAATTTGGACCATTCTAATGAGGAGAAATAGTATTTTAATACTACAGCTGGTCAAATAAGTGCTCCATCACTTTGGGTGACTCAGTTCCAACGAAGTTTCATCTCAACCTTTATTTGAAATCTAGTTTGGATGTGAAGCTGAAACCGGAGGTTTGGGATGGACTGGGCTGGGGAATCACGTGCACCCACTTCAGTGTGAGACCTCGCACCTGGCGCCCTCTACCTCAGAGCTTTCCAAACTTTTCATGTTGGCGACACACTTTTTAGACATGCATCATTTTGTGACACAGTAATTCAGTTTTGCTAGCAAACCGGAGGTTAAACTAACCCCTTTCCAGCACCAGGAAGAGAGCGGGGAACATTTGCACGACACACTAACACACTAAAGTGTCGCTACACAGAGTTTGGAAAGCTCTGCTCTACCTGAATTGAATACATAAGAGTTACTTAACCTAGTCAGAGACTGAATCACAGACATTTCCCTAAACTTGCTTAAAATCCTTATTTCAATCATGGTGCAGGGGTGGTCTAGCACCCAATGTTGCTGCAGAAGCAATATGTCACAGGTGGTGAAAAGCGAATGGGGGTGCAGGGAGTGGGAAATATTCTAGGGCCATTTAACCAACTAGCCTCTGGCAAAGTAGTCATTCCTCAAACTGCTGATCAGTGATGCCTTGGGTGTATGGTTGAAATATCAAGGAAATGCTTGATATTTCATGGGCTTCTCCTTGGAAATGGTGATGCAATCTAAGCCCACATACCCACCTGAAAGAAGTGGACGGAGAATAATTAAGAAAATACATGCTTCTAACGGACTTTGCAGCTTTCCTATTAATTCTTCAGATTTCCCTCTGAATAAGTGATTGCAACTAGCATTTGCTGATGAACATGGGATGGAACTGTCCAACTTTGGGACTACAAGTGGTTGAGCTATAAGTACGTATGCCTCTGGATGTCCCCTGTTCTGTTTCCAAATGTGCTGCCTTGACTTAAAATGGATGGAGGACCCGTGGCCCTCCAGAAGTTGGACTTCCAGCCAGCATGGCCAGGAATGATGGAAGCCGTAATTCAGCACCAGCATCTTAGGCCCTACAGATGCTCTTACACTCTGAGGATCCTTAGGCTGTAGTTCTATACCTGCTTACCGTGGGATAAGCTCAGTCGAAGTGAGTAGAACCTACAGCTGAGTACAAGATTGTTAGCTACTTTCAGCACTATGTGGCATTTAAATTGAGATTAACCCAAAAGCAGCTGGGTTGTCAACGATGAACATCCCTACAGAACAAATTCATTCAGGACTGGCATACTAGAGGTATCAATGTTTGTGGTGCTTACAACCAGAAGTTGATCTTTTAAAACAATGTGCTGCTCCTGTTTAGCTATGAGTATTTAACCTCTAATGGTGGGACCCAATGCATTGTCCTGCAGCATACACACACAAAAAGGCAATCAAAGCAATTAAGCATCTGAAATACTTTGAGGAAAGGCCAAAATACTTGAAGCTTTATAATTAAATGGAAGAGGGGAGGTATGAATTGTGTGTGTTGTGGCAAGTCCATCTCTTCCCTACATACAGGCTATGCTTCCACCTCTGCCAAACAGACCAAGGACAGATTTTTTAAAAAAACTATGCTTTGTCAGATAGTTGATGGAAGGCTGCTGTACGACGTGATGGCCACTGGCTCCAGTGCAGGGTCTAGCACTAACTGTTTGCCATGATAAACCAAATGGACACACCTGATTCAGAGGCAGTCTACCTCGGACAGCCAGCTGGCAGACTAGCCACTCTCAAAAACAGTATACTGAAATGGATGAACTCTGTCTGAGGCCATGGAAGTCTTTATGTTCCTCATTCTGACTTCAATGTACCTTTGGGAGTAGATAATAAATTAGGATTGATTCCCCCCCTCCCCCAAGAAGATTTACAATGAAAGCAACAGCTCTGTGGCTGATAACTGTGTGTAAGGGAAGATTCTGCTTCAGTAAAAAATAGTAAAGGACTTTGAATTCCCATTGTGCTGATCCTTCGTTGCTTTCAACTTGGTAGCCACTGTAGGGAGTTCCAGATTAGGTCACTGTCGAGTTCACAATTATTCCGTTCTTCCTGAGAAGTGATTGCATGCTGCGCTTTGTGCTGGACTTCAGTAACATAACTGCATATTGAGGATGGGAATGGGGTGAGGGAAGATCAGAGGCTTTTGTTTAAAGGATAATAACTCCTGGCTCCTATAAGAGGGTCCATTTGATCAATCCACTACGTTTGCATCTGTTTATAAGATGCTGAACTGGACTTTTTGCATGGCAAGCAACCATAACAGGACTCCTTGCCCAGGCAAAGCCTGTGTTCCTTGGAACAAAATAATAGTTTGTGTGGGTCTTGGGAATGGCAAAAAAGCAAAAAAATAAAATAGAACTAAGTCTGGGGAAAATCCTGCTACAACCAATTTTTTTAGGGTAAGGTATAGGGGGCCCAGCTGCGCAAATACAAATTATGGAAAGTAGGCTATGATAGACACCTTACAAATAGAACTGCATACTTGGTATAGCATTTTTTATTTTTTTTAGTATTGGTTTGGATGTAGGTAGGTTGGAGAATCTGCACAGGAACTCAAGGGAAAATATATGCTGCTATGACACTTTTGAGACCACTTAGTGTGCCATTCCAACGTCATTCAGAGTACACTCATTGTAATGAATGACTGTGACTAAGATTGGTTGATAAATTTCAATGGACGGGATTTACCTAACCAGCCCCTCAGCAGAAGCACCGCGCAAGCTTCCCCCTGTACACCATGTCACACCCAAAAATTGGTTATTTTGGCAAGGTGTGCGCGCATCAGAAGAACTCCCAGAATAGTACACAGGAGGAGAGGGAGATGATTCTATCTGAACAGCTGGAAGAGTGATGTTGACTTCCACCAAATATTTCCTGAGTAAAACTTCAAGTTATAAAGCCTGAGGGTGCCACTTAAGTCATTGGGACTTAAAAGGTAAACATGCATCCCTTTACGTCATTTTGCTACAGCAAATCATTCTGTGAACTACAGCAGGAACAGTGCAGTGCTCTCTTTGCAGGATTTGCTTTATAAATCCCATTGTTTTGTGGTAAAAACAAATAAGCAGCCAAATGCCTTGCCTGTCCCAGGCCTGGACTGTTACATTCTTTACCTTCCCAGTTATCAAGGTGCTGCTTCTCCATCACTCAACTTAGAAGAGTTAGAGATGGCACAGCAAGTAGCAGGCTCTTAAATAAAAGTCCTTTCAGTATGCAAACTGCAGCTGCACCTGTCAACCAAACTTTAAGGTACAGGGGCTAGAGATGAATGTGTTGGTGTTGGCCACTGTGTGCAGACTGCATCTTTTAAAGCCCATCCATATCCTTTTGATGACATCATAGACACAGCAGAACTGTGCCAGCAGCTTCTACTTTGTAGTTTTACTTGAGCACACAGAAGAACTGGCTAACCATCATTACCAACAACCAATTTTGTTGTTGTTACAATAGTAGAGCGCTCCATTAACAGAAGGAAGATGCCACCTGTCCCATGCTTCATAAGGGTAGGTGAAGAGTACAGAGCTAGCAGTTCAAATGGTTACCGGTAAATCTCTTATCCAGGCCTGAACTGGTACCTAATTTTGAAGCAATTTGCACCACCCATCATGCAGGACCCCAAACCACTGTCCAGTATATGCAAGTCTTAAATGTACACTGCAAATGTAGAATTTGGAGCTGGATACAGGATTCAGGCCTGACATGGAACCATGCATTGCAGTCATCTAAGGAACCAGTCTAGGCGCCAATATTAAGGTGAAATCTGCTAGGGAAAGAGTTTTAGGGAAGATGAAGAAAGCAATTCATCACAAGTGCAAAATTGTATTAGAACTGAAACCTATTTTGAGGAAATATAGTACACCCTGAACCTATAAGCCCCCCCCCCCCCATTTTGAAACATGGACACAACAGCGGAAACTCAAGTTCATCTTTATTTTAAGAAACTAAGAAAAATCTATCATAATTTATCACCAACAATGTGCTACATTACAAAAGCAGTCACACACATGCAAACTTCAGGAGGGGGGCGGGAAACCACACACCTTGTTACAGTTAATAAGGCTCCATTTCCAATGATATCACTACACAAAGCTACAGTTCCATCGAGTTTTAAGAGATACTCCCCAAACCCTGCATTCAAGGCACACGTAGCTGCATGGACAAGAGTTACCAAGAGGAAAACCATTTCTGAATGCATGGAAGAGAAGGACCATATTGTCATGCAGATGATAGGTTTCACAGTTGGGCTACTTCCACCATAGCAATTTGTAATGCCTGGGCACTTTCAGCCCCACAAGCAAGGCAGGGCTAACCAACATGGACGCCTTGTCCCTACCTAGAAAACAATCTTCTCCATCTCATGTAACATTTTCCTAGCAGCACTAATCTCTCAAGGTAATTGACTCAAGAATCCTAAATTCTGCCATCTCCATTGTAGCAGGCAGAAATGGAGGAAAGTAATGCCTCAAAGGCATTCCTACCTTTGCACTGCTCAGGAGTTTCTCTAGCAAGTGGTCCTGTGCTACGTGCCCAAGTATGCGGAGGTGAAGGAGAATTTTTTTTATTTCTAAAATCCCTGTGATGGGACATTGTATCCCACAACTGGCATGTGGGGTACTGGCAGTAATTTTGTCCCACTTAATACCAGCAAATGCTAGGAGGCCTTTACTAGAAAAAAAGATGCAGTGTTTCATCGCCATTAAAGTCTGTTACAGCGGAGTCCCACAGTAAAAAGTGCCAGTTGCATTTGTCTATCATGAAAGAAAGGAAGTCCCTGGGCATGGCACAGCTATCCCTGCAAAGCACCATAGGAAACCTGCAGGTTGCTACTGTTGTGCCAATACTGAGACAGGATAGCACAGGCATTGGCATTGCAATCTTGTCCACTTCTCTATACTGCTGAACTTTGGGTTCAAGCTCCCAGGAAGAAGACACTCTGTACCAAACAATTCCCAAGCAGAACAATTCCCAAAGAGATTCTCATTATCCTTTCCCCTGGACAGGGTACAGATGTCTATGTTGACGGGCACTTAGATGGCAAACCACGTACCAGCACAAGCCCTCCCACCAAATACTTTGAAACTTGGGGCATGACCCGCTCCTGAGAAGTACAGAAATGGCTAAAGACAGAGCAGTTCCTCCTCACTTGTAGATGCTCCCCCCCCCTTTATGTCATTGGAGGGGTAATTTCATGTGTTGCTCTTTCAGGGGAAAGAGGTAGAAACGCCTTTCTCCCAAGAGCAAGCAGTTTGCTTTAGAAGGGTTCCCTGTATCTGTAGTCAGCTATGAGAAATGAGGCACGTGAACACTTTCTGCCAACCTAGCAAAGGTCTGCCAGCTTCTGTAGCCATTAATTGCCAATAAATCCATGTGGAACTCCAAGGCCACATCAGTAGCTGTATCAGACAGTTGCTTATCTACGGCTGGGGGCAGCCCCCAGCCAAGTAGAGAAAGTATTGCTATGTCAACCAAAAGCAGAGGGGTGTGGCCCCCCCCAGCACTTACCAGGCGAAGTTGCGCAGGAGTATCTCAAGTATAGAAGCTGCCCCATATCACTGAAAACCCAAACAAAATGTAGACGGGGTCCAGTGAGCTAAAAGCAGCTCAAAAGTGAATTTGCACTTTCTGGCAAGTGGCAAAAACAGTGGCTAAGCTACGGTAAAAGCCAATAGAGCCATCATCTCAGATAGTGTTTCTCATTAGCTGCCCAAGAGATCAGGAGAATGGGAGGAGGAACACTCCCGCAGTTGGCTAACACTAGATTCTGAAGTCCCTACAGGAACGGCTGGATCGTACCTAAGGGGAAGGGTGTTGGGGGGGAAGGGTGTTGGGGGGAAACAAGTCAAAATGCCCAAGGGAAACTTTCCATTTCCAAGGAAACAAATTCAGTGGAAGGTCTCCACCTCCACCACAGTCCAGTCCCCGTGCGGGGATGACATGTCCTCTGGGGAGAAGCTCGTCACAGAAGTGATGCTGGCGCGCGATTCATCCAGAGGAGAGATCAGTTCGGTCCACTTGCCAATCTCTGCTTCGCTGCTCAGCGCCCCCTTCCCACCAGCTGCCCCGGAAGGGGCCTCCGCTGAGAAGAGCAGCGTCCGGCTGATCAGCTGCTGCACCATTGTGGCCTGGATGCTTCCTAGGTGAAGAGCCTGGTCTCGGGACGCAGCGCGCAAATGGCGGCTCCCGTCCTCTTCGTCCGGGCCGGGAGTCTCAGCGCCACTTTCCACTTCATAGATAGTGGAGAGGATCTCTGACGGACAGGGTCCCCAGGGGAAGGGCAGGCCAGCCCCATTGTCACCTACAAACAGGGCAAGGAGCTTGGGTTGGAAAGAGTGGCCCTCAGGGTGGGGTGGTGACGAACAAAGAGGAAGTAACAGACAAGAAGAACACAACAGGAGAGCAGGGGAAGAGAGCCTGGGTTTACTTCTTTCTTTTTAAAAAGAAAACCTGAGATGCTTCTCAGCCTGGCAAGAGCTGCCTTCAAAGGTTGCTGTTATCTATTGGCTGAACCCACCACCATTGCAATGCCTGGGCTGTGCAGAACCCTTTTGTTCAGGTCCCCTACTTTGTCTCCCTCTAGTGTTGTCCCATCCAGATATGGGGCCAGCTTAATGGACATACAACAGCTGTAAGAACTGCATGGGGACCTGGCTAGGGTTGCCTTTTGGGATTCCCAAGCAACTCCCCATCCACTCATGGTCCCTGTCAGACACCCACTCCCGAGTTTGTCAAGATGATAGGTTGGGCAGGTGGGCAATTCTTAAGAACTTCATTGGCTTTATAAAACTTAAGCTAGTTCTTAAATCAGAGTTGTTTCTTCTCAACAGCATCTATACTTTCGGGAGTCCTGGTTGACCGTTTTACTTAAAAAGCCAACCAGCAGCAGAAAGATGTATCCATCAAGGAAGTTGTAGTTAAGTTGCCAGTCAGCTCTGCCATTCTTTTGACAAAACAGAACACCCAATCATTCTTACTGGGGACCCAAGTATCTTTCGGCATGTGACCTTGCTAGCCCAGTAGGATTTCAACATATTTTGCTCCCCCTAGAATGGCAATTAGTTTGAACACTCCCCCATTTCACTACACCTATCGCTTCTAAAGAGATCAACCTATTCTCTTCCTACCACCCTACAGAAGGTCACAAGGTTAAGGTATCATATTCCAAGATTACAACAAAGCTGGTTTGCCTAGATCAGTTGCCTTAGCCAACTTCATAGGACTATAGTGGGGGGGGGGGTCTCATGGACCATAGAATCCCCTGCTTGATGCTGGACTTTCTGAGCTAAAACATCTCCAGCAGAGGGATGCCTAGCTTCTGCTCAAAGACCTCCACCCCCCTAGATAATTGGGTTTGCTGCCTAACTGGTCCTTGCCATCAATAGGTTTCTCCTGTTACTTAAGCCTTAGGTCTAGTCCAGGCCTCTGCAGCAGCAGAGTGGGTTTTGCCCTCTTCCATGATATTCAGTCCCATTTCTAGAAAGCTCTCCTCCCTGCTAGCTGCATTAGAAGAGGCCTGTTCAAATTTCAATTCCTCTTATATTTGATAAGGTGAAACTCACTTTAGGGGAGCTGCCTGCAAGACTAGTCTGAAGATTACCATAAGTATAACCCCTCCCCACCAAATGCTCTGTAGAGCCTTTTTTTGGCAGGGCTTCATCCAGTTCGTGAGAGAAGCAAATGGTGATGGGATCCCATGAAGAAAAATAACCTTCAAGGCACAGGGAGGCTCCAAGGTCACTAGAAGCAACTACTAGGCTCAAGGACTGCTGAACAAGGCTAGGAAAGTGTATTGACCTTGATGGATTAAAATTCTACCCAGCTCTGCAAAATATTCCCATGATTCACTGCTGCCAATATGCCAGTCAGATTTGCCCCAGTTCATGTGCAAAACCAACCAAGGTTTCTGGGCTACTTGAGCAACTTTGAAAAATATGTGGACTGTCCTTGGCGAGATCTCGGAAGCCAAGCCACTTACAGCCGCGTTCAGTTAGGGCTCTCCGCTCTCTCCAAGCCCCCAACCCCCCCACCTCAAAACGGTAGGGAACAGATCTCCTGGAAAAACAAGACAGGCCAGATCAGATAGACAAAGTGATGCTTTATTCAACATATCAAGACTAAGAAGTTTACCCTTCTCAGAAAACACGCTAAAATACACACAGTTTCCCGCGAAGAAAAGGGGTTGTCGAGATGGGGGGGGGGAGAGGTATCAAACACAAAGAGACAAAAAAAGTATGCCTGTTTGGCTAGAAACACAGATGGAACAGGTGCACATGGAAGGAGAGGGACCGTCTTCCTTCCCTACAGGGTACTATTGCACATTGAGATACCACAGGTTGGCACTTTTGACACAGACAAGGCAGGCTTCCTCTATACGTTACCTGCAGCCAAGCTATAAGTGGCAGTGAAAGGCTGGGATGCCTCTTCCCCCTGCCCTCCAGGCGTCTTCTGGGGGGCTGGCGAGGCCTGCAAGGAGTGCTGCTCCCAATCCACGGGGGCCTTGCTGCCGGTCTCTTTGGGGAGCTGGTCCTTGCTGCCCTCTTCGCTCTCGAGGGAAGAGAGGCCAGGGCTCTTCCCACAGCTGTCGGTGGAGTGGAGGTGGAAGGCGCCAAAGACGTCGCAAGAGGCAGCAGAGTTGGTGGAGGCCGGGGTCTCGGTGCCAGCGTCGCCGGAGCCCGGCTCGTCAGACTCCTCCACGGAGTGGGGCAAGGACGGCTTGCCCGGGAAAGAAGTCGACAGGCACACGGCTGTTTTGGCGAAGCCCGGGTCCTTCAGGAGGTCAGCGTCCAGCTCGGCTTCCTCCTCGGAGGACACGGTGGGCTCAGTGGGCGGGTCGCCAAGGACTTCGTCAGCAGGCAGGGTCTCCGCCTCATCGTCTCCCTTCTCCATGTGGATGCCCAGGTCCAGCTCGCCAGGCAGGTCCTCCAGGGGGCTCAGGAGCTGGTGGCAGGTCTGCTCCAGTTTCTCCTCCGACTTGGACTCCACCCCGGAGCTACTGTCATAGTCCAGCAGTTCCTCGGGGGTGCTGGTCTCGCTGCTACTCTTGCCTGCCAAATCGGGTCCGCTTAAAGTGCTGGACTTTGAAGAGGAGCCTCCCCTTTCTGGGGACTGGCTTGTGGTCAGCACTGTGCTACTCAGCAGCAAGTCTGGGAGCTCAGGGAGCTGGGCAGGAGGCTCCTGCAGCAGCCCAAGGCTCTTCAGGGGCAGGGTCTGGGGTTTGTGCACCAACACCTGAGCCACACCGCTCGGAGAGAGCTCCCCTGAGAGATGGGGCCGGAAGCCTGGAGCTTCCCCTGCAGGAGCCTCCTCTCGGTTCAGGTTACCCACACACATTTCCAGGAGCACTGGATCATCACCACCACCACCATCATCATCCACAGGGCCTCCAATTACGGGATGTCCACCCAAACAACTGCACGGGTCGCTGTGGGCTACAGGAGGCTCTCCAGCAAATTCTGTGGGAAGCAAGCTTTCAGGGGTCTGGAGAGAGACTGGGGCCTGGTCCTGAACAAACTCGCCGATTACAGAAGGTTCTGCTGCATGCGGAGGCTCCAGGAGTTCATCTTCGGTATAAATGGCAGCTGCGTGTGGCTTCTCAGCCTGTGGAGAAGTGACCACTTCCTGTGTTACGTCACGACATTGAGCTGCAAGCTCTAGCGGGCTCCTCCTCAGCCTCTCAGTCTCTGCCTCCAGTGGGGCCCTGTCCACCTGCCGCTCCACCTCTGGGCTACAAGGCAGGCTTAGGACCTCATCCACTTCATGTTCGGTTGCCCAAGGCTCTGCCATAGTTTCCAGGGGAGGACCTGCCTGGCTGAACGAGGAGGGCTGCTCTGCTGTGAGGACAGACACCTCCGGTGCCTCTGCTGTCTGTGCCAGAGGTTTGGCAGTTTGGGCCTCTTCAAGCAACCCAAAATCTGGAACCAAGGACCCAGGAGAATGAAATCCTTCTACACAGCTTGGCATGGGGACATCTTCCCCAGTGGACACCTGGGTGCCAGGTGACGAGAGGTGGCTTATGCCTTCACAAGGCTCTTCCGCCTCAAGCAGTAAGTGCGGCTGCTCAACAGCCACTGGAACATCAAGGCGCGGAAAGACTTGCTCCTCTAAGTACTCAGAGTCTGTGCCTGCCTGCCTAGTCTGGGAAGATTCCAGTGTTGAAGTTTGGGAAGCAAGCCCTGAATCAACAGGAAGGGATGGTTCATAAGCGCAATCTGTCTGCAAGCCCAGTATTTCGTCACCAGGGACGTTCAGGACCTCAGAGGCGGCCAAATCATGTATCTCGTCGTGATTCACGTCTTGCGGAGGCAGAGAGACCCGAGGTGCCTCGAGGACTGCTGGATGCGTCTCGGTGGGAGAGGAAGAGACCGTCCCATCTTGTGGGCTAGATGAAGCCAGAGGCGCCACAAGGACTGCTGGATGCATCTCAGTTGGAGAGGAAGAGTCCTTCACATCATCTGGAGTGGACAAAGCCAAAGGTGTGACAAGGACCGCTGGATGCATCTCGGTGGGAGAGGAAGAGACCGTCACATCTTGTTGATCAAGCGAGGACAGGGGTGCCTCAAGAGCGGCTGGAGTTAGCACTTTCATGCTGCGATATGCAGCCCAGTCTTCCCCTTCCAAGCCCCCTGGCTCCAAGTGCTCAGTTGCCACGGCTTCCACCCTGCAGGTCTCAGACACTGCCTCTTGGGAGTCTAGCAAGGAAACAGTCTCTACCTCTGCTGCATGGTCTAATTGTTCTATGGGCCCTGCCTCCTCTATGGAGATGCTTTCTGCTTCACCGGTGCCCACCATGGCATGCCCTGCCTTGGCCTTCTGGACCTTCTTTGCGGAGGGGGCCTGCTCTTGGCTAGGAAGGGCATCTTTCTTGGGGAGCTTCTTGCCTGGACTGCCCCCGGCAGGAGAAGCCTTGGAAGCAGAGGCAGCAGCTCTTTGTGGCGTGGGCGGATGCGAAGTCCCACCAGCCGCCTTGGCAGGAGTTCTGGGCTTAGCGGACTCAGAGAACTTCTTCGACGAAAGCTTGGTATTCGGAAGGGCGGCCGCATTCCTTTGCCCGAGGTTTTGCTCGGACTGAGATTTGGAGCTTGGGAGTTTGGGGTGCCTGGAGGGGGCAGGCGGCATCTTCACAGCAGGGTTTGATCTTGAAGGCTTGGCCTTTGAGGTCGGGACAGCTCTGGAAGCATCTGGAATGAGAAATAGTATTTTAAGTCCATTGCAGCGATGGCCAAAGTTGAGTCTCTCGCAACGTGCGTCAGCGCATGCTGGGAGATTTAAACAGCCGAAGGTCTGATTCTCATGGCAGCTGCAATTCTGCTCCAAAGCCATAAACATTTACCCATTTTATACCTGCCACCTGGTTTCAAACCAAACAACATAAAAGCCACAGTACCATCACTAGGAATGCTTCACTATGCACCACCCCCTACCCTAAAGGAATCTCCACCTGCTGCATCCCTTGCCTTATGGAGCCAGAATTTGGGTCACCTCAAACCCCCTTTGAAATAAGGCACCATTAGCTATAGTTTAATGCAGATATGCAATGCAGGATTCCCCAACCTGGTGCCCATCTGATGTTGAACTGCAACTCCCACCATGCTGGATCACTGGTCGTGCTGCCTAGTGCCAATGGGAGTTGAAATGCAACAACCTCTGGAGGGCACCAGGTTGAGGAAGGCTGGTGGAATGTATAGTCCCCGAACTAAGGTGGCAGCTCTCACTCTCAGAAAGCCCCTAAAATCTCACTTCTGCTATGAACCCACTAGGTGGGCTTCAGCAAGCAGCTTTCAGCTGGAGGCATGCAACATGGAAATGCCAACCTATCTTCAGAGGATTGAAACTAGATACTGTTATGCGGGTTTCTTGACGTATAGAAGTGCTATATAAATGTCTCAATTTCCAGAGGGGCAGCTGTGTTAGTCTATGCAGCAAAAGTGATGACACCTTAAAGACATTTCATAGGACTTGCCCCATGACTAGAAAGCACAGGTCTGAGCAGTTTCCCCTCTTTAGCTTGGAATAGGAACAAATAGCAATCTGAAGAAAACCTGATTGCTGTTTGCACCGACTAAGCGCTAAAGAGGGGCTTTCCCCGGGTTAACAAAGCAAGATAAGGGGAAGTGTGGAAAAGCCCATAGACTTGAGCCCACTTCATGAGATGCATGTATGCTGTGTACTCTTGTGAAGATTTCCTCATTTCCTTGTTACCCCCCAACTATACCTGTCCAAGATTCCACAGAAAGTGGAACTTTTCCCTTTCTGCATTATGCTGTGGAAGGCTCAGCCTTCCCATAAGCCACATAGGACCTACGTATCTTCACATATACCTCTTGGTGTAGCCGGACTGCTTTTCTGCTGCACTACTACAGCTTGACCAGCAGCTGGCACTGCCTGCTTAGGTTTCCCCACACCTTTGCCGTTGGCTGCGGTGCTATTGGCTGGTGGTCTGTTTAGGGCTGATGCAGTTGAATTCTTGGTCCCTGGCAACCAAGTTCTGAAACAGAAAGCAACAAGATTATGCAGGGGAGAGAGACTGTAGCTCAAGCCTTTCCAACACACAGAGGCCATTGGTGCCAGCATGCTGGTGCGTTGGCACAAATGCTAGCACTTCCAAGTCTCTGGCAATTAGCTGCAACCAGAGTGGCAAGGTTATCCTTGACAAATGCCAGCCGTCAAGAGAAGAGAAGTGTTCCAGTGAGAAAGCTATAAAAAATAGATTTAAAAAAATCAGATCACTTCCTCCGTTCTAGCCGCTCCTTGGGCTTCAGATCCTCAAAGCAAGTGGGGCGGGAGAGGAAACATAAAATTAGCCGTGCTTCCCATTCCTCCACTTGTTTACAACATGCAAATCAGAGCCCTGGGGAAACGCAGAACCTTCCTGGAGAATATCCCCACCCCCGACCCTCCGGGCCTTGCCTCCAGTCATTTCCAAGATTAAAAGAGGAAATGCATAAAAGCAAATTAAAAGTAGGTAAATGTACCTCTACAACTGCTATTTCTCTGCCCACTGCTTTCTTTTTGGTACACCGTACAGGTTGCCCCAAAGGGGCAAAATTCGGCCTGTAGATTTGCCTTAAGAGGACCACTCATTTCTCAAGAGGTGGCTGAGTGAAGATGATTAAACCGAGTCCTTTTTTTGTAAAGTGTGGCACATCACCAAAACTGGTATTTACTCTAGGCAGGGCGGCCTCTGCAGTACTTGCCAGCACAGTTCAAAAGACTGCTTCAGGAACCATCGCTTTTAGCAGAGAACTGCCCGCTCCAATGTGCAGTGGGGGAAGCACTGTACACAAGGCGATTGTGGGCCACATTTTCCTGAATCAGAATGGAAACTACACTTCGGTTGAGTTGGTTCAGGCACTGCACTGTTGCTAAGTGCACCCTATCAGTCTGTTCAGAGACTGCAGAGGCAGGACTCGCAGCAGATCCACAAAAACAGTACATGTGGTCATCTATGGGATGCATCGTTAAGTGGGAGGTGCACGGTTTTTGTCGTTGCTATGATGGTGTTCAAGAAGCTGGCAGCCCACCCCCCGCCAATCACTCATCACATTACAGACCCAGATCCCACTGTCCTCTGCACCTCTGTTCTCTGACTTCCTTCTCACGGAAGCAGGGCTGCATCTACTCACTAGGACACAAGTCCTTTGGGCCCTTCAATGTTGCTGAACTACAACTCCCATCAGGCCCAGCGAGCATGGCCAACAGTCAGGGATGATGGGAGTTGTAGTTCAGCAACGTCCAGAGGGCCAAAGGTTCCCCACTCCTGCACTAGGATGACAAACAGCCACTGTGGTGCCCGTGGACAGTGCTGGACTCAGGTCAGTCACCCTCTTAGCCTGACCTGCCTCCTAGGACTGCTCCTGGGACAGAAGTAAATGCTTTGCACATACTGTATTAGGTACCATACCCAGCATCTCCAGGCAGGGCTGGTAAAGATCCCTCCCTGCGACCCTGAACTGATGCTGCCAGTCAGTGTTGGCAATGCTGAGGTGAATGGATCAGTGGTCTGACTCACAGCTCCCTGTGCTCCTCCGTTCCATACCTGGGGGGCTTTGTCTGTTCGGGTTTCTTGACTTTCGTGGAAGTTGCCTTTGGTGCTACAGAAAGAGCAAAGAAGATACTTGCCTTAAGTAAACAGCTGATTAAAGCACAGAACAAACGATCAGAAGACCCTAGCTGGATAAGCATGAAAGAGCTATCAAGTCGCCAGCAGAACAGGGAAGGGTCCTGGAACCTCATTTCTCTACCAGGTTTGAGTACATGGTGAGTGGTTATCACAGCCAGGCCTGTGCACATATTTGCAAGGTATACAAGTGGAAACCTAGAAAAACAAATTACTAGGGGGTTTTAGGTGGGGGGCAGGGAGGAAGGACCCTTCAGTTAGCCACATAGTTCCATGTTGTTCCCAAAATTTGGCCCAATTTGGGGAGGGAGGGTAAATGGGAAGTTAGCATTGAGTTAAGCTGTGTTTGAGAGAACCTGGCCCAGATCACAGCCTTCTCTAGACAAGCATGTCTAGGAACAAACCTCAGAGGTGCCATGCAATGTCTTAAGGGGCTTAGCACAGCTTTAATAACCCCCTGCTGAAGAGTTAGGCTGGCAATCCATACCTGAAGCCGTCACCTGCGTTTCCACTTTTGTGGGTTTCTGCTGCACCTCCTTCTCCTGACCGATCCTTTCTGAAGTCTTTGGCCCGCTGGGTCTGTCCCCCATGACCTTTTTCACTGCCCCCTTAGCAGACAAGTTGGTGGCAGCACTGGCCTTGGCCACTGGCTGCTTCGTCTGCAACACGGGCGGCTTCCTGGCTGCTCCATTGCTGAGCATTCTGGGGGCGCCGCAAGGAACTGTAGGAGGACGACTTGTAGGGGCTCCTGGCTGCTTCCTGCCAGAGACTTGCCCTGGAGCCCGAGGGCTCCTGCTGGGTGTTTGCTTTGCTGCAGGTGGACAGGCAGCCCGGGCTCCTTTACTGGCCGTTGCCACGCCATTCAGCCGTGGAGCTGGGTCTCCGCCAGCAGCGCCATTGTCATCCATCTTCGCACCGACTGACACTGGGCAGGTTGTCCGTATCTCTCTGAACCGCTAGGCCAGGTGCAGGGCTCCGTTTTCACCTGCGACCTGAAAAAGAGGACCACCAACACTTTGTGTGGAACCCCACCCCAATGAAGCTCTGCGGGGATTGTGTGTAGTATTGCAGATGACTCTCACATCCCGTTGGTTCAGCAAGCTGAACCTAGCTGCTTCGGATGCAAAAAGCCAGCACTGACTATATACACAAAAGCATTCATATGCGGCCATCTAGTCACATGAAACTATCTGCAGCTTGTTGCCAAAAGCTTTTAGAGAGGTGGATTCTACATTGGGGGACTGCAAAGAAAAGCATGAACATCCACGCAGTACGAAACTAATTTTCTAGGGATGCCAAAGTCATAGTGGCAGCTGCCACATGTTGGAGTCTTACTGGTAAGTCAGATCAGTCAAGCAACAGTTGTGTTGCTAGGATCCACCTTAGAGTCACAAGGCCAATGTTGTGTTGTTCATTAGATTGGCCCTATTTCTGCCACTGTGCAGCCCCCTTTGTAGAGCAAAGTGACAAATCAGGAACATTGCCGCCCAGAGAGCAGCATTTGCCCATGGCTGGCAACTATTTTAGCTGTCTACTTTGCAACAAGGGTTCTGTCACTCCCAGCAAAAAAAGAAAAGAAAAAAATGTGTTCCATCAAAACCACAGAGCACTCAAGCTTGGGGGATGTGGTGAGAAAGAAAACCAAATCCACCAGCAGAAGGAGAACCTGATATTCCTCACCATGCTCTGCTCCCTATGCCTTCCCAAGAGCAGCTGGCAGGGACAGGCCAAGACAGAGTATAACTTGAAAGGAGGACTCTTCCCAGATGGCATCCAATGGACCGTCAAGGCATTTAAAAGAGCACTACAAAATTTACAATCACTATTGTAGCTGAAATTTATATTCAACAATAAATCCTACGCCACAAAACCAAGGCAGCTCAGAGCCATACTATTATATAATTAGATCTCCTATCGAAGCCCTTTTCAGTATGACCAAAGAGAGGAAGTTATTTTAAACATGTCTTAGCTTTGGAGGGTGGGTTGTTGTTTTTTTAAGGGATTTGTTGAAGACAGTTCAATTCCTGCCTCTAAACTGAGGAGAGACTCAAAACTTTACAGGGAAAGTTGAAGTGCCTCTGAGACAAGGTGAACAGCAAAACAGAAGATGCAAATTTGTTTCAGAAAATGCCTCGCACTTACACACACTTGCTTGGAGCCTATTTAAAATGCAAGGTTTATCCACATTGATTATCCAGGATTGGCATGTGGCATACAAAAGAGCTGAAGGCCTTATGCAACTGCCATGCACTGAATCTTGGGCTGATTTGACGAGAGCAGCCTCCGCCAACAAATCAGCCCCTGCCAGCACAGAACGCTGGCTGAAGCCGAAAGCAACTGGAGGGTACCAGGTCGGGAGAGCTCCCCTTATGAGAACCTTGGGTGCACCTGATGCAGTTTGCACAGCAGGTTTGGGACCAACCAAGCCTTGTTGCCAGTGGTAATTTTGCACCTGAGCAGAAGTGTGATGAGCTGTGGCTGCAGAGGCCACAATACATGATAGCACTCCTCTCCAGGGGAGAGGGCAGAAGACAAGGGGAGGGCTGCCAAGCCACGCGGTCCAACGTTGACACTACCAATGATCTATTTTCCTGTGCAGGAAGTGAAAGACTAACTGGCCCTTGGCAGCCTCTGCACAGTCTTCCCAGGCAATAAGTGTCATAGAATGCTTTGCCCGCTGCCCATGAACTGACAGAGCTGACTTAGGTAGATAGGTCTCAAGTCACCCACTGACTTAGAGAGGCTCTTCCACCTATATCCTAGGGCCCCCAATGGTCCACCAGCAGATCACATTACCTTCTGCCCACTCTAGAGAAGCCATACGCAGAAAGCTTCAGTGACTGCTGACAGCTATTAGATCCTGAAGGCAGTTCCCAGGGTCATTTCCATTCTGCTCTTAGAGCACAAGGCAATGAGGGGGCTATGGGTAGAGTCTTCACCCATATTTGCTTATTCAGCTGGTTGTTTTAAAGCCCTAACTGAACATCCAGGACATTTAGCCACTCCTATGCTGAAAAGAATGGTTAACTTTTAACCCATTGTTTGATGTGGGAGAGAAAGATGCACAAACAGCACCATATTTGCAAAAAAGCACATTTGTTCAATGCAACAAGAATGAACTTTATGGGACCAACCCCTTAAGTCACACTTGACACAACACCTCTCCATGTAAATAACCTTCCCAGTCAATATCAGCTATTGCCAAACAGTTCTGATAGGAAACTTTTGCCCTCCCACCCTGTTATTATCTTAAGAGGTCCTTTTGTTTTAATACTGTACTTTGGTTTCTCCTGACCTTCTTGTCTCCTGCATGGTCAAGTTTCAGTTTCACTTTCTGCTTGCTAAAAGTGTGTACCCTCCAAATTCCCTTATACAGTATATGCATATACTGCATATGCCGTTCCTTGGAGTATCACAGAAGCTAGCCATTTAACTTTTAAGTCATAACCAGCCTCCAATTTTTATTTTCCATATTGTTTTGTTAATGAATACAACTTGACATTTTAAAACCCAGCAGAGCTAAGTGTTGTTCGAGCTACAGTTGAACTCTTTGAAATCTCTCTTACACACACCCTGCCCCAAATTGTATTTACACTCTTCCCCCACCCTTCTACTGCCCACCATCAGTACCTTTCAATTGTCTCAAATATCTTGTTTGGTTGTTTATAACCCACCGCAACATCCTGGCATGTTTATAATTCTGTATCACCCAAAGCTGCAAAGCATATGTTTCAGTCCACATCTGAGCCCAAGGCAGGCCCATGGGAAAACCTGCTTCTTTTCTAGCCCTTGAATGCTGCTGCACATTCTCCCAAACTTTCCAGCTACATTAGACACTCAACGCTCCCTCCTCTGCTCTTTCCTTGAAGCCATAAGAAGTGCAAGGGAGCTGCAGCCCCTCCACCCCTGCCCCCAAAGCAAGAGAGTCAGATCACTCCAACAGTCACCCATTCACTTTTGGTTTTTTTGTTTGTTCCAATTATTGTCTCAGGAGGAAGAGCTCTGCTAGCAAGCCTATAATTTCTCTTCTGGTTTTGGAGATGGCCATTACGTTCCCCAGCTACAACCTTGCCGAATCGCTTTAATTACACAAAGTTAAGTACCAGGGAGATCAATCTAGAAGCATCAGTGTGTAAAGACACAGTTACACCTGCTTAGCTACCCCAATCCATTATCTTCCCCCCAACACAATCATCCATGACTTCTGCTTCCTGTTAGGTTAGGTAAGTGATTAGATTAGCAGACATCTCTCCCATTTAAAAACTCACCTGATTTGATGCATACTCCCCAAACTTATTTCCATCTTATAATTGAAGTACTTTACCTCACCAGTGATTTTCCTTATCCCTCAGTGTTCATGCACTGCCCTTCCTTTGCACACTTCTGTAGCAACATCCTTTCACTAGCAAATGGTCCATACACCTTGCCCTAAAGGGTTTCATTCATTCATCTCAATCCCAAAAAGGCTTTGTCTTTCCTCTAGAGCGGGGTCAGCAAGCTTTCATCAAGGGGCTAGTCCACTGTCCCTTAGACCTTGCGGGGGACCGGACTATATTGTGGAAAAAATGAACACATTCCTATGCCCCACAAATAACCCAGAGATGCATTTTAAATAAAAGCACACATTCTACTCACGTAAAAACACACTGATTCCCAGACCATCCGCAGCCTGGATTTAGAAGGCGATTGGGCCGGATCCAGCCCCCGGACCTTAGTTTGCCTACCCATGCTCTAGACTAGCCCATTTCTGCATATCTCAGCCATCCATCTAAAAGCCGCTAGCTCACCTGGATTCCCCCACCCCCATTTTTTTACTTTATTTCCTGTGGGATTTTTCCTGGAAGGGTAGCCTCTTTCCTAGAGAAGAGCTAATTGGGGGCAGGGGGGGGAGAGGCTTTTTCTGTTGAGTACAAAGCCTTAATACAAACTTTCTCTCCATTTTAGAGACAGGCTCCTTTACATGTATACTGTGATGGAGGGGGAGAAAGGAACCCCTTTGTCCACTGTCAACTACATGGGACCCTATGAAAGGTGAGATAGTTGACATTTGTTCTTCCAGTAACCAGCTGAGAGAGATTTGGTTCAGTTTGCCTTTCCTGCAAAAAAGGCAGCCTCAATTTCATTTTATCTTTTAAACGGATTCATCCAGCAATACCAGGGAAAGCCTATTCACTCTCACAAAGAAGCACAGGGTGGGGCTGTGTGTTCATACGAGATGGTAGCTCATCACCACTGCAAATCCCTCCCTTAACAAAGGAAAGGGCCTGCAGATCTTAGGAATTGGTCCCTCCTGGTTTCATGCGAGACTTTTTAGGGATGGGAGCCACTTCCCCCTGTGGCCCCTGACATTATGGAGGCTTTGTGTATTTTGTTTGTTTATATATAATATAAACCTCGCTTTTCGGTACCGACGCTTTCAATGCACTTGTAGCCTTAGCTCGCTTCAATCAGCTTGCTGGAAAAAAAAACCCTTTCACATCACGCCTTTTTTAAAAAGAAAAAATGCCCTGCTTACTGCACCCAGAGAAAGTGCAACAAGAAGAATAGCCACCAACGGGTACAGCAAATGCAGTGTGTAGCTCCCCTCTCCGAGGGTGACGAGTTGGTCGGAGAGGGAGAGCGGACGGGGCTAACAGGCTAACACAGCAGATTCTGCCCCGAAGGCTTCACAAAGCCCGGAGAAGAGCCTGGGATCCAGCTCCCAGTCTTCCCTTTGGCCGGGAGGATCCATTCAAAAACTGCCCAGCCTAACAAAAAAGCCAACACCCCGCCCCGCCCCTCCAGATCAGGGCTGTTCGCTCGGTCCGCTTTGCACCTGCCGGCGCCATGTGCACCGGAGCCCCACGCGCCCCCCCCCCAATAAGCTGACCCCCAGCACGTGGGAAACCGGGGGAAGAGAAGCAACCCGCCCTGCCCAGCCGTGGGGGGAGAGGAGAGCCGCCCAGACCCTCTCCGCTCCGCGCGCAGTTCCCAAAGCTCCGGCCAGGGGCCGCCCGCCGCCGGAACTCCCGGCGCCCCCTCGACGGCTGTTACCTCGCTCGCTCGCTCGCGGCGCGCCGGGAAGCCGAGCCAACCGTCCCTCGGCGCTCCAGCAAGCGAAGGAGCCCTGGGGGGCTTTTGTCTCCGTGCAGGGGATGCTGCCGGCCGGCCTGGGCGTCGCTGCTGCTGGTGCTGCTGCCGGCGGCGGCGGCGCCTGCCCTGGGCGTGTGTGGCCGGAGGGCGCGGAGGAAGGCGGAGTGGAGGAGGAGGAGGCGGCGGCGGCGGCAGCAGCGCCAGAGACGCACAAAGTAGGCATGGGGAAAGGGGCGGGGCGGGAGGGAGAGCAGAAATGCCCCTCTCAATTACCTGGACAGCCAATGGCAGCGCCGGTTGGGGTTTGGAAGGGATGATGTCACTCTCGCGGGGAGAGGCTGGCGCTGCGCGGATCAATTGTGTCTTCGGCTGCGCCGCCGGCACTATTATGGCCCCCGCCCCGCCCCCGCCCATGTGGCAGCTGGTTAATAGTAATTCAGCCGCGGGGGGGGGGGGAGAGCGTTAACCCTCCGCCTGCTGGAGCGCTGATAGCGAGCCTGCTACTGTCAGAAGAGGACACACGGGGCTGGTTCACACGTGTGCGGATATACCCCCCTTCTGACCTGAACGTGTGAACTGGTTTTACTGAAAAGAGTTGTTCGAGCAGGGGCCGACCCGGGTTGCAGGACCCTGCCTGGGTCAAAGGGGCCCTTAAGTGGGCCCTCCTGGCAGACCGGGCTGGCCCACCCTCCCCATCCCCAAGCAGGCTCACTGTCTGGCAGTGGTACTGACAGGAGTACCAGCCAGGCCTGCACAGCTTTACTTGCCTGCGGTTGCCCTTTCCCGTTTCCGCACCATGAGGATATTCCGGAGGGCCACAGTCTCCCCATCCATTATCTGTACTGTAGCCCTCTGAAACAAGAATTTGTTCCAGTTCCTCAGACAGTGATCTCATCCAAAAGATTTGCCTCAGGCGTTCTAAAAACTATAATATCCACAGAATGAAGAGACAGAATTGGAAAGGCTGGAATGATCTACTACAGGACAGACCCAGAAGAAAAAGCAACTGAACACAGCATTTTGTCAAAGGAACCAGCCCAAACTGTTCCTTAAAAAAAGGCCCAACAATTTTGGGGGTTTCCTCAACAACTTTTGGGGTGTCCTGGTTTTTACTTTTTGAAGTATGGTACGGTATCAGCTGCCAACAATGCCTTCCTAGTGTCTGCATAGGACAAATAAGCAAGGACCCACCGTTAAGAATAAATGGGCACAATGCTTACATATTTTTTTTAAGGCAGCATAAGCTAGTGGGAAGATATTTCATTTTCTCAGGACACACTGCTGCCAACCTGAAAGTCACCAGCATTTAACAGCAGCAAAAACTTTTACGAGGACTCCAGTGTGAAATTGCTGGATTAGAATTTATGAGTACAGTAAGTTTAATCCTATGTATTCAGATCAGGATTTTCTGTCTCATGATCTCTTGTCTTTCATGACCTTTTGGCCCAGTTGTTCACAATTGTTTTCTCTATAGCCATGCAATATATGTTTGATGAACTGGGCTCTAGTCCACCAAGTCTTATGCTGCAATAAATTGGAGACTCTTCAAGGTGCCACAAGTCTTTCTGGTTGTTGTTTTTTTGCTTTGCTTTGCTTTGCTTTGCTTTGCTTTTAATCAACATGTCATCAGCCTATGTTCTTTGTGGCAGCAGAGTCCAAGTGGCTTACACACCCTGCTATATTTTACATCACGCTACTTCTGAGGGCTGCTTTCCAAAATCAACTGAAAACAAAACACTTAATATAGCACTATATTATCTAGCACTGCCCACCCCCATGTCTAGCATTTTCTTTCATGTTTGCTCAGACCTGCAACTTGCCTTAGGGCCTTCTTCGCAGCGTGCATCCTGATGGTGGACAAACTAATTTGGATTGTATTTGCAGGCTGCAGCTCCTGAGTTAGATGTTGCATGGTGTGTTGCAGAAAGGCCTGATGTTGAAGTTATCTCCATCCTTCCTTAGCCAACAAGGAGTAGTGAGGATTATTATGGGAAGAGTTGTCCTGGCCTTCAGAGTGAAAACTTGCTTCTGGCAGCTAATTCCAGAGGTGGGTGCTTCTTGCTTGCCTCTGATCTCCTCTGTGTTTTTTAATTTTTTGTTTACTTTAGGAGTGAAAATGCTGAATCTCTAATTTTTTGTTTACTTTAGGAGTGAAAATGCTGAATCTCTAGGGGAAGAGCAGGGCTAGCCCAAATCATTTTGCTGCCTCAGGCAAAGGGCAAAATAGTGCCCCCTCTCCTTCCCACGTACAGAATTCAACAGGACTGGAGACGAACCTGAGTTCCTCAACACTCCTAATGGCTGTGTGTACTGGCTCTTTCTGCATCCAGAATTTCTCCTTCACTGTCAGCTGTGCTCATTAATCACCACCACGCTGAAGCCCCTTCATTAGTCCCCCAGAACTTAGCCTGGATCAGAGTTGTCTTATGTAATAATTGTTTAATTTTATAAAAACCAAACAAAGATTTCCATATATCCATGTATCTGCAAAATATAAAACCGCTGAACCTTTTCATTTTAATACATAGATCTTTTTAAAATAAAACCCACTATTCATTAGATGAATTGGGAGAAACAGCAGAGGAGGAGAAGAACTGGAAAGCACTTTGCACAATGAAAATAGCTCTAATATGATTATTTAAGAAAAATCACAACAATAATAATGGATAAGGAGAGAGACATTCATCACATATGGCTGCTATACCTGGTTAATTCTTTATAGGCCATATGGAGGTTCCACCACCCCACCCTAACCAGGCACCAGGGCCCGAATCAGAGATTTCTGCATGCGCCAGGAAGTTGCACATGTGCTGCTGTGCCTACAAATACACACATCCATTCCCCCCCAGTGACATGGTTAGTGCTCCTCCAGTCCTGCTGGCTCTAATTTTTGTGTGGAGAAGAGGGACACTGGACTCAATCCATCACCTTCTCTGCCTCCCCTCCAACCCCCCTCTTCAAGGATCAGCATAGATAGAGCTGGCAATGTGTTCAGCTGTACACTCTTAAGCAGGCTGGATCAGATCATTTCACTCCTAATCCAGCCATTACACTCCAGTAAGGGAGATCAATGAACAGCAACCTCTTTCCACTCACAAATTGAAGTCTTTAATGAGCCAAAAAGCTTTGAGATTGAGATGAGGGACGGAATTGTCCACTCGGAATTGTTGATTACTGTTTTGAGTACTGATTTGCAACTGTCCCAAATCCCACAATTTATTTTATGTGTTTTCAGCTTGGGAAAAGGTGGTGTAGATTATATAGTGCAGTCCAGTGAAGCAGCCGGCTGTTGCAGACTTAAGCTCTCTCTCTTGTGTTTGCTAAGTTGCATAGCGTTAAGAGTTTTGGAGGAGGTAGGCTGTATGCCTAGGTCCTTCTAACCCCTGGACCCAGCAAGTGTTGAAATCTAATCAAGGATTCTAATTCCTGGAAAAGCTAGGCTAGCTTCCTGGTGAGGTGACAGACTAGGTACTGGGCTACCGATGGAACGGAAGTGGCTCAGCACCAGAGGGCAAAAGGGTGGGCCTCCTCCCTCCGCTGGCTGGAAGTTAGAGAGACGAGGGTCAGAGTTGAGAGTGAAGTTATGTGAGTTAGAAGATGGAAGCAAGGCAACAGGCTGGTAAGGCAGAGGGTCAGAGTGATGCCTGATTTCTCTTGCAATCCAAGGCTGCGGCTATGGGAGAAGCCCTTTTGGGGTGTCAATGCTGTGAACCCCTCCATTGTAGGCTTAGATTGTATAGAAGTGTAAATCAACTGTGCACCATAGCCTCCGCTGTGCCACGCTCCAAGGAAACCGAACCCTGGGTAAGTGTCACGGGGAGATTAGAGTGGTGTACAACAACATAATGGAAAGACATCTAGGCTTGAGCAGGGAGCAAGCCATTGTTGGAAACCGGAAAAATAAACTCTACCCTCCTAACCCATCCCCGGCCCCAGTTTCAATGGACTTGTGCTGCAGTGGATACAATGAACCATTATTATTATTATTATTAGCATATTTTCATGACATCTTTTAGAGATCTGGTCGCTGGTTCTGGCTCCATAAGATACCTCTTTTTAAACATTTAAATTCAGAAAATCCATAACCCCAAAGGTGACACTTCTCACAGATTTTGTGAGTCAATGAATATGCTAATTCCAGAAGACAAGAATTGGATTGTCATTGTTTGTGGAGACATAGCTAAATTACTTTACCCCTCTCCTATTTGTAAAAGCTGGTCTAAAAGCAAGAGGTTTTGGTCTCTTACTCCAAAAACCACATTCCATGCATGGTTCAGGCAGCCAACCTGGCTTTTACAGAGACGGTGGCCTCTAGATGGCAGTAAAGTCACACTGCTGTAAGATCCCCTCTCCTGCCCTACAGGCACTGTGACCCAAGGTAAGTATCTTTCCAGGTCTTGAAGCTTGTTGTACAGTTACAAACTCCTCTCTGAAATCCAGGACAGCTGCTGTCAGTCCGGCTAGCAAATACAAGGCCAAGTGGTCTGACTCTATTTATAGAAGCTTCTGGCGTTCATTTGTATCCTTAAAATGAGATTTAACCAGAGCAGAACAATGCTAGCATCATCTGTATCTTACCATCTTTCTGTTAACGTGAGCATTAATGGCATATTTCTTATTCCACCCCCTTGCAAAATAATGACATATTGCTAACTTATTCATTTTGGGACCTACTAGAATCCAAATATCTTCAGGGGATGTCGTATGCTGGTGATTTTCATCATGTTTTGTATTTCTATCCTTGTAGGGCTATTGGAGGAGATAGCATTTAGCATTCACCTTTGGTGAATTTGGTTTGAATGTTTTCAGATCAGCACTCCTATCAAAAGCAGATCTAGGAGAGCACAACCGGTTCGATGGCGCCAGAGGTGGGGGGCGGGGCGGATCCTGACCGCTTAAATTTGAAACACCAAGATCCGCCACTGTTCCCAGCTCATGTTGATTCCCTATAGCAGTGTGCCATGGTACCCTGGGGTGCCTTGAATGATGGTCAGGGGTGCCACAGGCAACACTGGCCTCTGCCCCTCTTTCCTTTCCTCCCTCCTCTGATGCCCTCTTGTGTCTCTGCCTTCCAAAGGCTTGCACAGCTGTTTGTTGCAGCAGCCCAGGCCACAAGCTCCACAGGCAAATGGTGCCTCTGGGAGGCACCTGTCTTTGGGGAAGGGGGGGCAGCTCAGAGACCAGGGACAGCAGCAGCCCAGGGGACAGGAGAGGAGGCTGAGGGAACACTCCACAAGAGAAGGTGTTCCAAAAAGGATGAGAGGCTGCCAGCTCTGGAGGCAAGGGGTGACATAACTGGGCTCCTGAGCCCCACAGGGGAGCCACTGAAAGAATGTAGTTGGTCAAGGAAGCCGTGGACTCAAAAAGGTTGAAAACCTCTGCCCTATAGTATTTGAAACCCTGCCTCCCACCATTCAGTCTTAGTCAAATGTAATATGTATATGCACAGTCTTCTGTTGCTCCATTGAAGTGTCTGGTAAAATGGTAGAATGGCAGTGGGCTGAGACTGTTTAAAATAACACTGAAGGCGAACTATATAAAACCTACTGCATTCCCCATATCTACTAAATTGGTTCACCTGTAAAAAGAAACCATTAAGACATTTGGCACAACTGGTACTTAAACAATAAATATATGTCAGCTGCTAATAATGAGGATGTGATAAATATGGTCACTAGTATCTCATGAAGAAGGCTTGTGCATGTTTACTTAGAAGTAAGACCCAATCAGTTCAGTGAGGCAAACTCTCAAGAGAATGTGATTAGGATTGTAGCCTTAAAATCATAATTGAGAGCCCAAGAATACATTTTGAAAATAACAAGAGCCCCTCAGTTCCAACTAAGGTCAGGTCCTGCTGGTTTTGCAAATCCAATTTCCTCCTACATTGGGAAGAATGGAGTTCAGGGGCGATGGCTGTAGAAATGGAAAGCAACCAAGGTTACCTATCACACACCCCTTGAACATTTTATATCAAGCCCTTTTGCAAGGGCAGTGTCATGATTTTCCTACACCAAAACCTCCAAGACGACGGAAAGAGGCACAAACACCAGAATGAAATGACAGACATTTCATTCTGGCAACTTTTAAGATCCAAGAGGGAGTGGAATCAAAAGCTCTGCTTACAAGATGCAAAACAAGGAAGGCTTCATTATGAAGCTAAATAGCCGACACTCCAAACCAGCGTTGAAGCTATAATATTTATGCAAAAAAAGGTAAATAAAATAAAATCTCCTTATTTGTAGCAAAGCCTACTTTGCTGCGCTCATAAATATAGTTTTCCTCAACAGGACAAGAAAGACTTAACAGTTTAATATCTGTTCCAACATTGCCCCCCTATTCTCTGACGATCCCTGTTGCTGCTCACCAGGAACATATAGGGAACATGATTCATTATTAAAAAGTGCTTCAATAAATCTAGGAGGAGGTCTCTTTAAGCTTAGCCATGGTGCAACAGAATTGCTGGAGAGGAGAGTCTCGCCAAATGGGGGATTGCCTTTTACAAATGACTGTTCCGGAAATCAACATGTCTTAGTCTGGACTCAGATGCTGATTTTCAAAGGAAGAAAGTGATTTTCAAAGGAAGAAAGTGATTTGATAAAGTGTTTCCCTTCTGCTACCATCACATCTGGATAAATAGGGTCTGCTGGTATTCGAAATAACACAGAAAATCTCCTTCAACTCTCAGCCCTCCCTCTTTTTTGTTTTCAGTCTGCAATGTGTGTGTTTACTCTGATTTTCCCCACGTTTTAATTTTTAAAAAAATATTCCCCCCAACCCAAGTTTGAATAACAGTTCGGCAACACGCAGAAGGATGAGCTAGGAAACAGCACAAACTGGAGAAAGAAGCCAAATGTGCACGGATATGCCCTTCCCTTTCCGCATTGTTGTTGCCAACAGGTTTCTTTCTCTCCAGGAAACCATCTCACCACCAGGGTGCGCTGTGAGCAGGAGGCAAGGCAGCTCTTGGGTTCAAAGGAGGACAGAATGGGAAGCAAAGGTTTCCAACTGAGGCAGACAAGGAAGGAATTAGAAGCACAGGTGCAAACAGCAGGCGGTGAAGGGGAAGCAGGTCCCTGTCAACCCTTGTTTGGCCATTTTCTCAATAATTCACAGGGTTAAAAAAGCAACAA